CCACATTTCAAATGTAACTTCTGGGTCAAAAAACATTGTAACTCATTATTCACTCCGCCTGAATGCAGTTTGTGAGAAGTAACGGAGCGTCTGGCATCTCTCGCAAATCAAACTAATTGGTTCCTGATTCTACTTAAGCAAAAGCAATGGTCATAACCGACACCGAATATTAAAGATAGATAATCAAACAAATTTTTTTATTTCTCCAGCTAATAAATACCAGAATAATCTACATAAAATGTGACGAGTAAGAGATCCAGAGATAACAACAGATGTGCATATTTGAGCAACAAATTCAAAAATTTCAAGCCGTGAAATGTAAGGAAATGTAGGTATTAAAACCTTAACTTATACTACATCAAAAAGATGAATTAAAGTAGGGTCGAAGATATTTGAAAGAGGTACATAGGTCGTACTCATCATTCTTGGAGCATTCAACGTTAATTTTTGACGTATGGTTTCAATATGAAAATGTTCTTTACTGAGAATGACTCATGATTTCACCGGCAAAGATAGTTATATGCTGCATAATACTATAATGATCCATAGTAAAGAATATAACCCGTCTGAACAGCAAATATTGCGTAAAATTATTTTGAGTATAAAAGACGAAGTTTTAAGGTAACACAGAGGTGTTATGAACAAAATCTGTAGTTCTTTCGAAAATATAAACAATAAAATACTTCACGTGATGTCTTACTTTTATAATGAATTAGAAGCTATAATGCATGCCTAACCCAGAAGACTGCAGAAACGCGGCTCAGAAATTAAATTCAAGAAGAGGAACAATCAAAAAACAAAGTAGTGCACTCTTGACATGAACGAATAATGAAAGTCAAGAAGTCAAGATCAACAGCAATGTAATGCAAAAGAAAATATAAGTCCAAATCACAAGCAGCGGAGTGAACCAAACTGTATTATTACATTCTCCAAATCATCAGTAGACTTTCGATGAAAAGAACGGTATGTAACAGCGAGAGACTTCTTAGATTCAGTCTAAATAACTACTGTCTCTTTTACAATAAATCGCTTGCCTCGAATTGAACCAACGACTGAATTGCAGTGCACAATTGAATGCTTCTCGATAAAGCTGTATTTCGGTTGAATCAATTTTCTTTGGCTTTGCTCCTTGATGCAATGCACAATTTAGGATCCAACCACAACGTTGCAGAAATGAAAACAGTGCTGTCTCCGCCAGTAAGTGTCCATCTTCATCTGAAAACACTGCGATATGCAATATATGGGCACCGAAAAATGATTCGGTAGCATCAGATCTAAATCTTTTTTCTTAAACTGATATCTCATTTTGCCCCGATAGACTACACAACAAAAGACAAGGAAAATCAATTTCTTGCAACATTCACAGCCACATAATATTTGAGTTATTATTTTATGAGATAATACCTATCAAGAGCAAACAGGAATATGAAATAACCTGGAACTAATTTGACAATATGTTTCGAAAGGATGAAGTAGAACTGATTCAAATGCATTACATCAACATGTTCTGGCGCTGCCCGCAAAACTTGCATTTGTATGGGACTGAATTCAGCAGGAGGTACAACCTGTACATATATTACTTTATACTGGATGTTTTTTATGATACGAGTCAAAAAACAAACATACCTTACAACTGGGGAGAGTTCTAACCATGAAAAGTGGCAAATCTACTCGACAGAAACCTCCTTCCATATCGGGCGCTCTTTGTCCAATTAAGTGAAAGATCTCTAAAATTATGAATGCGACAGCGTAGTAACAGGGAACCAACAATTGGTGCAAAACAGTGGCATTCTTGATAAGAACTTTCAGAAACAATTTACCTCGAGGAAGAGAGTTAGAAAACAAGCACTTAAGGCTTTGTTTGCACGCTAATATATCCCTTATATCATAGTAGTCTTTGTCCACGTCCATAAATATTGCTTTCGTTTTTTCCATCGTTTTCTGTAAGGAATTTTTTTAATGTTACGAACTAAAACAATTACGATGCTAGGAGAGCGTGATATATCTTAATCCTATCACTCCTTTGCGTTTTCATGACCACTCAATATTACGTTTTATCTCGGCTACATTTTAATCATCTTATATCAACAACATGTCATCTTTTCATCATGTTTGTATTGATGTGTGTACATTTCTAATAAGGAGTGAATAGAATTTATTTGATGCTCAGTGAATATGTGCATCATATAGTACATCAAAAGGAAAACAATAATAAGCAATATAACGTCTTATAATATAATCAGTGATCAAACATGAAACATATGGGCACGCATAGCAGATAAGGGACAAAACGCAGGACAGTGTAGGGCAAATACGTGTAACGAAAGAACCACAGTTTAGCGCCTCACACTAAAACTCATGTTGACAAAAACGAAACACATCACGGCCAATTCTCCCCATCCGTATCCATATCATATCTGACCCTGAAATACCCACTCGGCCATGAAGTGAATGGACGCTAAGCAGAAAAAAGGTTGATGGTTTGGAGGAGGGGAAGACTAGTCTTCCATAGAAAGATTGAGCTCTTTGTCACCAACAGTATCTGCCAAGACAATGCGCATTTTACTAGTTGAATGACCCTATTTACTAAAGTAATCATTCATTTGGAAATCCGTAAAAGATGTTCCTATTGGACCGAAGAAGACCGGTTTTATGCGACAGAAAAGGAGAAAGGAAAGTGGATCTATCCTTGCGGTCGATCACTTCATTGCCAGTAGAAGACCAATGTGCCTAAAAATAAAATAATTATCAGTTATCCGAGCTGCCTCTTAAGTTCGTTTTACTTGCTAATTGTTATTTAAGGTACAATTTCGAGATGCACAGGGACCGCATGATGTTCTATGCAACAGTAAACCTTTCAGTAGTCTTCATTACTGTATCTGAGACATGCTAACCGGAGACTAATATAAGGAGCATCATTGGATTGAATGACTTGATTTGATTAGCCCATGCAGCACTCTTTATATCATGTATTTTTCCAGGAGATTTTGTTGTAGTGTTGTTGAACGGCTTCCTGGAACAACGCGGTATCCTGTCGATTGGATTACAAAAGTCAGTTTGACACTGGCATCGCAACAGGACCGAGTTATATGGTATATCATGCTGATCACAACCTAAAAGTCATTGTAGTGAGATCCCTCGACACGCCTCTCGATTTCTTTGTAGATTTCTACAAATCCAATAAGGAATTCCCGCTGAACATACACAACATAAAGACGTTGCAAACGTTATTAGCTTGATTACCATTGAACTCATCATCGGTGCATCCGGAAATCCAGAAAGGAGATGTACCTCGCACTTCTACAAAGAAGCAATAGCTATGATCGCACTTAGTAACATCTGGTTCGCAGCAACTATCGACCGGTATCATCCAGCTTTTCTCTGCCACAATCTTTCCGTGGCAGTACCAGCAGTTAAGAGAGGTGACACTAATCAAATAAAGCGTACAAAAAATAAATAGGGTAAACAGACAGTGAAAAAGCATTAAGAAAAAATAGCTGGAATAAGGAACTCGTTCTGAATTCAAGTCCAAACCGAAATATTAGTTCAAAAACAAATCGAACTCAAAGATCCCACATTCGGTTCTTATGTGCTCTGAAAGTCAGATATCATTTACACATTTTTCGTCTATTGTTACCACAACTGGATATAATGTCATTCATAATTACATATGTGTCCGAGTTCATTTACTTAACCCGCATTCATTTCTGTATCTTTTATCCATTCATATATGAATACACTTATTCTTAAGTTGATTTTCATATTTCTATAAAAAATAAAAAATGCGCCTATCACTTATCCTCACTGCCAACTGTCTGATTTTCCAATTACTTATATATCAACACTGTTGCGTGCAGTGCTTAGATTAACTCGGCAAAGACTAAAAAAGTATGGATTTGCAAATTAAAGTTAATATAAATGTTTTGCGAGTCTACTCAATAGAATGAAAAAGAGAAATGTTTGATGAGAATAAACGATGGGCACCAGGTCTTGATAAATTAAATGACGAGTAGTGATCTATGCGAAAGAGGGGAAGAGGAATGAAGGGTTCTACTGATAGAGTCAAAATTAAGTTTTTGAAAGTCTACTAGAAACTTAAATTTATTTGCTACAAGTTCCGTGGAAAACTTCGACAAGTCTATTGGGAATGCCTGTTTATGTCTGTATGCACTAGTTACAAGGCTGTTTCCAAGTTTTGGCTGTCATTTAGTTTTTTTCAATTCAGATACTTTTACACCTTCATTTCTTGTAACCCGTACTGCAGTTCGTCGGGAATGCTCAGCTGGGCAAAATTTACTTAAACTATCATTCTGTTATTTAGACGCATTATTCTTTTGGCGTCTTTACTGTCAACTGCCAATCTCTATGCGACCAATAAATTTAGTTTTGAATTCGTTGCAAGAAAAAGAAAGGTTAGCACAGTGGACTGGACATCAATAAAGAATGGTATGCAAGTGGAGCAATGCTAATGCCGCCGTTGGTAATTTAATTTCAAATACTATTTCTCAAACGTCCATCCTGCTGTTATCTAACGAAAAGATAAGAACGAGAAGCTTCAAGGCAACTCATCAGTAGGTCCCGTAAATTAGAACCGCATGAGGAACCATTGATCACTATTAAGTATTGCGCGGACAAAAACTTTTTCAGGACATTCTCATTGAAATAGAATGACCCGTGGACACACAGCAGCTACAGGAGTGGCTAATGTTACCGCAGTTGTCGTTTATGAAACGACATCCAATGAGAAAAGAGAGGGATGGAAGGGTTGATGAGTCCAATGAAGGCAATAACTTCATTAGCAGCATAAGTGTGATATTCATCATATTATAGTGTTCAGATTTTTTGGCTGTAAAAAGACTAGTTGAAAGTACTCATATTCCTCACGAATGCTATTTCGCCCTGTCTCTTTTAATAATGCCATCTAATTGCATAAGACAAAAACTAGGAAGAAGCAAAAAAATAGGCGGGAGAGACAATAAATTAAAAAACATGCTATATATTGTGACCAATCGAATTTGAGGAATACTTTCAGCACCAAGAAATGCTATCCAGCTAAAGCTTCTGCCATCAAAGTTCTCATTTTACAATAATCCAAACCTCACTACACATTTTTGCGGAAAAATAAACAAATGTAAATTAGAATAAAGGATTAAATTTCGGAATAAAAGAGCAGCTTTATCCCTATAATACATTTTTTTCTCAGAAGACAACTTTGAAGCAGCACCTAAGAAACAGCATTTTTGAAAAAAGTCAATACAAATCCCTAGTCATTCCTGTAAAATCTTGCCTAATACACAATGGTGGAGGTCTCATGAATAACTTTCCAACTCTTTAATGTAGCCAAATTTATTTCACGATTCAAATTTGCATATGTCACTACTATATTGAAGATAACAAAATAATAACAAACTACAAGGGTTTCACAAGGCGAAAATACCCACGTATCATTATCATTTGATTTGTATATTTCGACAACATAACAATATCGCTAATATGTACTTCCAATTTTACAATGTAGATAAGTGAGAAGGGATTAAGGATAGAAATAGGGAAGAAACTTGAATAGCAAATGAATACAAACAATAACTTGAAGTGTTATCAGTAACACTACTCGAGATTCCAAAAATTTCAAACTTGTTGTGCATACCCGGTAAGAAAACCGCGTATCTCTTCATTAATACAACTTGCTGAATCTGCTTTGAGAATTACAGCGCGTACCATCACAGCTTCCGCCAGATAAGCTGCAATGAAACAACTGTAACCTTCAAGATCTTCATCGCTGCATAAAACGCGAATAAGTTTTACAGACTTAAAACAAATCAAAAGAAGAAAAGCCGATCAGCAAGGCGTTAGAAAAAGATGCTAACCTGAACAATGCTTAGGCAATAAACACCGAGCCATATATTAAGAATTTGTTTCTCCACTTTTCAAAGTGCTAAGAGAATTATTTTAACTTTAAATCCGTTGGAGGAAAAGAAATGCCTCAGGTCTCAAGGAATTTCTAAAAACGACCAGATAAAATGGATGCTGTTCGCAGATTTGCAAAGGAACAAATACTTGGGCGTGAAAGGTCCTGATAAACTAAAAAGATAGAAAACCTTTAAAATTGACAATTTCAGCGGCGATTGTATCTGGATGCTGTGCATAACTCAATTTACAATAGGGATCATTTCGTTCCAATTCCACTGTATAGAGCCCTGTTCCCTGTTCTTCAATATCATCCGAATTTAAGGGAGTTGGTCCACAACCGGAAGCTTCCACCAACAGCACTAACGACTCCACCAGTATTCCATACTGCAGTCTATAAAAACTGATACATGTAGATCAATCAACTTATAAAAGTGAAATCATTTAATACATATTAATGTACTAGAATCGCTACTTTATGTACAGCTTTTATTAGGTGAAGAATCTAACATGAGCAGAGTGATAAGATTAACACGACGCGCAACGGATATTTTCCTAATAAAACTTTCGAGTAAATGGATGATCAACTCACCCTAATTTGTCCACTGTTTCAGCTGCAAGGTTTGCAAAACCAATGCAACACAGTCGTTTTTCGTCATAAGTTGTAGTATTGTACATTTTGTTCAATTCAGGAATGAGGATCTTCTCAACAACCATCATGAACATACCCGTTTGTATTGATTCCAAAACCTGTGCAACGGAAAGTTCACACTTTATTCTGCAAAAACAGAAAACGAGGAAAAGATATACCTGACAGAGAGTTACACTTCCTTGTACAATCGCAAATCGTGCCAAAAAGAGGACGAAATTTTTCATGAATTTAGTTGTTTTCGTGAACTGAATTCGTCGTAACATCGGGATCAAGAGTGCAGATTCCGTTAATATATCGGTTTGCTGAAAATTCGAATTTATAGTAGTGGCTTTTTATTCGCTGTCATTAGCATCAAATCTCATATAAAAAAGGCATACATTTACATAATGCAGGAATATATTAGCCAATTGGAAACCATGTTGATCTAAAGCTTTCGAAGAAATCAGCTTCTGAAATACTGCCACAAGACTATTCGCATAATTATCTAGAATATATTTGCCGTGACTGCGCATAAATGACTCAATAACCTGAAAACAAAATGGTTCAAAATGATGATTACAAAAGAAATGAGACTGGGCAGCAGCGAAAAATGAACTTACCAATAACGCGGCAGGAATATTTGCTGTTCGTAGCCACAGTTCACCTTTCATGAGATTACCAAAGAAAGGTAAATAACTATCTACACAGGATGTACCTATCTTTTGTTTCTGCGCTTCAGCCTGATCCAACAAAAGAGCTGTAATGAACTTGAATCAAATTTTTCTTTCTAGCAACAAAACCCATTACAAAATTAATTAAAAATTATTAACCATTAACCTGTAATTTGAAGTGCGTATGGCACAAAATCAATAGCGTCTGAAGAAAAAATACTTTCTATAAGAGGCACCACAAGCTTATCGATACCACCATCCACTACCGCATAAACCTGTAATTCATAAAAATTAATAGTGCAAAAGATTCTAAAAAATGTACTTTTTTGAAATGTTTTGTTTAAGGAAACTCTACCTTTCCAAAAATATATACACGAATCAATAAATGAACATATGTACTAACCTGCCTGATCAACACACAAAGTGATTCAAAGACAAAATGAAGATGCAATGGATTGACTGGATTTTTCACAGCAACGCCAATCATGGTGGCTAATTTGTCAACAATGTGGGCAGAACTTTTTGCTGTTTCCGTCTATAATGAAACTCACATCAAAAACTAAACGAACAAAAACATTCATAACTGTATGGAAGTGTGTCTAGCCGTGGAGCCATATAATTTCGAAGATACATCAAAAATTCTTTCCCTAATTAAATACCACTAGTTAATAAATGTTAAATATTTTTCGTCTACGATCAGTAGTTCTTTCCTTCTGAAGTCAAACACTGACTTTTGACAACTCCTCCCAACTTCGTATAATATACAAAAAGCTGGTTACTGTTACATCATTGTAATCATGACTATTTTATATTCATGCAAGGAGCAAAAAATAAGTTGAGCGACAATTGCAAACAGAGCAAAACAAAGATGTTAAAAGTGATTCTTTGTTATCTATAGAATAATTTAAATAATTTTTGATCCTTTAATGATTGTAGAAATGAGGCAACACTTTTTTTAAAAGGAAGTTATAAACATGTCTAAGTAACATTCGTCAAAACATGCGAAAATATTAAGAGTATAAGAAACCTCTCAAGGTTAACTAGCAAAAAGATACAACACGGAAGATAAACAAAAATAAACGTTTCTTACGTCGATAATGTTAAAGCAACGCATCAAAGCCTTCATGATGTAATGTGAATTCTGCGCCTTCAGATCGGTTTCAAAACAAGCGAATAGAGCAACGATCAGTGGGCCCACTGGCACATTCTCGTGTGTTAACAGAATCTAAAATATTAATGCAGAATTTTGATAAAATATAAGAAATGCTTGAACAGCAGACTTAGTAAATGTAATAGAGATTAACAGTAAAGCGTATACAGAGAATCAGAAGTACAGAAGTATACCTTTCCCGTTTCCTTGCTTTTCACAAGCATAAGTCTTTCAAGAGCATAAGCAGTATACTGGTGCAAGATTGCATGCCGTGAAGAAAGTAATTTCAAAAATGCATTGATGACTTCTACTAAATGGTCTGGCCGTAAGTGATTCCGAAACACGATAACGTATTTCAATGCATCAGTTTTTAATATTGGTAATGCATTGATATTACTCATAAAAAGGTCACTATGTACGTGTGTCTGATAAAAATCGACTACATCAACCTGGAAAAAATTTTCAATTAAAAGTAATAACCTGAAAGATAATGCAAAGAAAATCACTGCTTATCAAAATTCTATGCTTCATCACAAGAAAACTAATAAAACACACGAGATCATTAGTAACAGTTGCACCGTGCTTTACAGTCTCTGCTTTCACTGCAACTGCTGTTATCAGACAGTAAACGACATCCTTTTTTAGCCAATTATTAGTGAGATCTGCTACGCTTTCTTGCAAAAATGATTGTAACACCCCAGACAAAATGCCTAAAATTCGAGATTCGTCAGGTCGACGACAAAGTGCCCGCAAGAAATCACTTGCCCCGCGACGTCGAGTACCAATATCAGAGCCTGGAATAAGAAAACGAAAGGAATGTTCAGTTGATAATAAAACGAATGTCCATAACGTACTTCACTACGAGAGCAATTCTATTTCATTGAGTTTGTCGACTTTACAGTAAATGACAGATAAGAGAGAGATATACTTCATTTAATAGTTTCGTCTTAGTTTAAGCAGAGGAATTATAACAGAAACTAAACAGGGCTCATAAAAAAACTTAGATGAAGGTACCTTCAATATCTTTTCTCATATACTCAAAAGGATCGTCCTCAAAAAGTTCAAAATCGCATTTCCTTAACATCACATTCTTAATTATCACATCTTCATATAGTGTTTTTAACATTTCCTCATGTTCGAAAATTGCTGAATACTGAGATCGCTGACAAATTGAAGATAGAAAGCCAAGTGATGCGTTCACTAGAGTATCATACCTAAGAATTTAACAAGGATTAATAAAGACTGTCATTCTCTTTTTCGCTCTCTCCATATAATAGATACATTTTTTGCTTTCAGTGGAAATGAACCTTGCTTTCTGATCGATTGAAACAAGTAATTGCCAAACGCATTCTATTAGCCAACACCTTTGTTCTGCTTTTTCAAGGGCAGTCGCACTCTCATTGGTAGGCATCATGAAAGGCATTATTTCTTCTTCGTATCGCTGTAATCAAACTACTCATATAGTTTCAAAGTAAATAATAGAGAAATGGATTGCGAAAGGGAAAAACGTTTAGATCAATAGAATGCAGACATACCTGAGAGTAAAGGGTAATGATTTCACATATAGAACACTTCAGCTTATCCAAAATATTAGCCTCTGAATCGATACTTTTGGCATCTACTTGAGGAATTTGTAATTTCAATAGCGCCATAAAACCATTTATCCATATACTTAAGTGATCCTAGACATATTATAACACACATTAAAAAATGTTTTATAATGTTCTCTCAATGACTTTATTCTTTCACCTCATCAAAAATTTTTAAGTCCAATGTTTTTAATATTATCAATAGATGGCAACAGCTGGGTGATATACCTACCTCGAAATATTCTGGCAAATCTTGTGAACAAAGAGAATGAAAACATTTCGTGATCAGAGTAGTAACTTCAATCCATGACTGACATTCTGCTTCTGACATCATTTCCTTATTTGGAATACATTCTACCATTTTCGCAAACAGATCGGTTAATGGTGCTGCTACCTAAATGAAAGAACGGAATGTAAAGGAGGCAGTATTCGTTTTGTCAATGATATGCAATTCAAGTTATTTCATAAACCCACCGCCTGTAGGACAATAACCAATTCTTGCCATAATCTATTAGATTTCACTTCATATCTATACTTCTTACAGAGCTCATCCAACGTATACAACGTCGACGTAAGCTTATCTGGATCAATTCCTGTTAGATTCTGGGCCAAAATTGTGATTAAATCAGGCCATTCTTCAGGAAAGTCATGCTTTCCCATAACACACACCACCTGCGACAACTGCTTCTGAATATTTCCTGCAAATGTTCCAATAAAATATCATATGATGAAAGTGCGCAGACGTCAGAAAAATGTAAATAATATTCGCGAAGAGCATCTCTCCCACAAGTACTATCACAGAAAATGCTAGTCATCTTCGATCAACCTCAAAGATATCGTCAAATAACCATATTAATGTAAGTGGGAAAATATTTACCTGAAGTGCTAAGCATACTCTCCAATGCCCTCGACCGAAGCTGTGCTCGTTCTGCATCGTTTATTTCAACCAAACACTTTTCCTTATTCTAGAAGAGTCTGCAGGATACAGATAGTTGTACTAATATGGGAAAAAAGAAGCATTAAACTTAAGACAGTATTTTAGTATAAAATAAGAAATACTTCTCTTCGTTTGCAGTTTTTTGGCTTTTTTAACAAGACAAAACACAAATTATCAATGTAGGTTTTTGAAACTGAGATGCAAAACAACAACAGTTCTTTTGAAATTCCATCAAAAATAGATGGTAGAAAATCGCCCATAGAAAAAACAAGCTGACTGAACAGTCATGTACGTCAAGCATATTGGAAAAGTTTAGCACAATAGGTATAATCACACATGATTCAATCTTTAAAAAATTAAGGAAATAACACAAAGACCAAAAAGAAATTGGAATGTATACCCAGTTCTCTCTGACGAAATTCTTGAGTGATACTGCCGAAGCCAACACAACTGCTGGGAGCATTTGTTGATCGAATATAAGTTCAAAACAAACCATACCAAATCCTAATATTAAGCAACACAATCCAAAGTGGTCATTTACAGAAAAAGATGGGAGCGGATGCAGATAATCATCAAATGCTTTATTTTGAAAATCATTTATCATTCACTCAAGTAAAATCATTAACAGCTATCCTTATATCGTCGACATGTCGGCTAAGATATATGAATAACTTACCAGGCAATTGCTCCATTTGCTTCAGATCATTTTCTGCAATTCGTCGTATGTGTGCGCTTGGTTCCAGCGTTCGCTTTAAGCATTCAGCTACCACCACCGCTTCGGCTGCTGGAGCCATCTTAGCTACAAAATAACTTCAAACCAAATTAAAAGAAGAGAAATGAACGAAATGGAGGACAAGAATGAAAGAGTCATCCTCTAAGCACCAATCACCACCTCTTTCACCCGCAACACCTCCCACCTTACTAAAAAATTTATTCAAACCGTATGAAAACCCATGTCCCACATAGTCATTTATGTGTCGTATTGAGAAAACCGCAGTTGAGCAAGGATTCCAATCAGATGAAAATTATACGATTGAAGAGAGATCTTTTTCTTCCTGTCAAATTTCTCATTTGATTCCCTCCATGATGACAGCCCAGGGTTTCCTATTCCTACTCATCATCCTTTTTATCTCTGGACTTTTAGTTTCTCTCTTCATTTCTTTTATAGTGTTGAATTTGCTTGTTGAAGATAATATTACAATACTACACATCATTTGATGCTACCTGATCTTTGAATAAGAATACGACACAAATGTCATGGTTCACGATGTGAAAAATCAAATCAGTCTGCTGATAATTCTTCGTCGGAGAAATAAAAGACCAAATTTTTCATTTTTTTTATTGGGGTCCGATGAAAATTTTATTTGTTGAGAAAAGCAATATGCGAGTCGGCCGGTTGAATGTGCAAATAGGACAAAATCGAATGAGTGCGCAGAGATATATAGTCCATGACCCATGCTCACATCGAGGCCGCTATTTGGAACATTTATAAGGCGTTATTAGAGGCTTCAAATGCGTCAACCACCGTCGTTTCAACAGTTCAGTTCTTTAAACTTAATCAAAACTGGTAACGCAGTAAGACTGTTGTGAAATAATACGATGGGATCTGATTCCCTAGAGATAACAGAATCTGATTTCCTGACGTAATTCTTTTAGAGTGATACATGTAAAAGCATCTAATGTCTTTTCTAAACATTTCCATGATGAATTTTCATGATAAACGCAAAATATTAACAAAACCTTGTTTAGTTTTGAATGCCGAACGATACCACAATCATCAATTTAACATGCCTTTCCTTATATTATTTTGAAGTTTTTTGTAAGTTATCAAACAGTTCGTAGTTTAGTGACGAAGTTTATACTCAAAGTATATTTATTAAAAAAGTTGTTCGAATGTTTTCCATCTTTTATTTTACAGCATTTTGACGCTCATTTCTTATCAGTCAGTTTGATATTTGACCATAAAATTGAATAACGCCAAAACAGCATAAATTAGGGCATGCTGGTTTACAAAAAATGAAAGCAGAGAAGTATTACCATTGCGATTTTGGTATTCCTTCTTCTTGGTAATCAATAAAATCAGCGCTTTACGAATTAGACCCATCTCAACATATTTCTAAATATCTCTGATAAAATCTCGCTGGGACAATCCCACAACTCTTCTAATGAGTTTACTATCTCATCTTACTAACCTATTTTATTATTACAAGATATAATACTATCTGAACTCTGCATTCCGAACTGTTTTACTAAGAGTCTGCTCATGCATAATCACTTCGGCTTTCAAAGCTTCAACCTTTTGTAAGATTTTCTCGTTCACAAGAGCTTCAACATCCTGAAACAAACTGTCTTATAACGAATGGCAGAAATCCAATTATACCATAAACCGTTTCATTTTTTCTATCAGACTGAACGTTGTGAATTTTGTATTGGTTAACGAACATACAACCGAGTTTTTAACCAATCAACTTATAAAAGGTGAAATATTTTAAAACTTGACTGGCTGGGTATTTGATAGAAAACACAATGACTAGGCGATCAGAAACAAAATTAAGTATTTGGCACCAAATATCTCACCAAATATCTCCCTGAGCAAAGCAATAAAGTTTAAACAAACTAGTAAACTGAAGATTGACTAGAAGTGATTACAGCTTTTGTGATAACTTTAGTAAAATACATTAATTAAATAGAATTATAAGTCAAAAGAAATGAGTAGAGTACCGCGTGATCCTGTGCAACAATTGCTGGATTATAACGAAAGTAATAATCTTTCCACACTTTGATACACATTAATCGGGTATTGGGACGCAATACATCGACAAATCGAGGGTACTGATTGTAGAACGGATTGAGAAACCGTCTTTTTTCAGTAATAATATATGACCACAGCGACACTGTGTTTTCCTTTACATGCTAAAACAGCTTAACTGCGCAGATAACGAATGCTCAAATCGGATTAGTGAGTACATTGTAATCAGTAATGCAATGATTCGAATAACAATCATTTAGAATGAGGAATAGGAAAACATAAAAGTCTTACTTGATCATGATGTCGTTGCTTCTCGCTGTTGTATAAGAATGTCCCAAAACGGCAAGAATATAACTCATCCAGCATTGTTATCAAGAATGACGAATTGAATTCGAAAGCATATGGAAACTAAATGATTAAGCAAATGGGAGATGGAATGTGCAATTTGATACTTATCGAAAGGGAATGCAAGCAGGAATGAGAAACGAGAAAAAGTCATTGAAAAAGAGAATGGAAACAGTCCTTGAATTAAAATATACAAGTGAAGCAGCTATAACTTGGTCTTCCTTACCTGATTCATGATTTGCCACACACAATCAACAAACTGTACAAATATGGGGGATCTCTCGCTATCACTATGTTTGTCTTCTCCATGCCCCACACGCTGCAATGCACACTGTTCATTTTTTAATTAAGAAAAAATGTTTTTTCTTAAAGAGAATCAAAAAAATTTTTTTTTTCGATTTAACATACGTGAGCGAATTTATGGCCAAAACTGCACCATTCCTTTTCTACCAGCACAGCAAACCCTTGGATAGTTCGATAATACGGATCTAGCTCCAGCATTGCCAATGAAGTCAACTAAATCAATTATATCGAGTACAATCAATATTCACTAAAGTAGAACTTATAAATTATTTAATTTCTAAAATTATTTAACAAAGATGTAATGAACTAAAAAGATACCTGGGCAGTTCTATCCCAGCCATCACTACAATGAACCAGTACAGATGCTTTGTTATCTTCTACTTCACGAGCAATTTGAGTTGCACCATCCAGAACTGTCTGTAGAACAGCAGCATTTTCATGCATTTTCACAATAATCCGATATAACTCACTCAATGTTACTTAGCAGATTATTATAGTCAGAAAATTAGAACTGAAGCTGAATGCGACATCTGTAATTGTGACAACTGCGAAATAATAAAGTCAATTTAAAAATGCTGATGAAAAATATCTTAGCAGCAAACAAATCTTTTAACATTATGACAACAAAATCTCCCATTAAAACATGGAAAGAAAAAATAATTCAGAAAGCGGCTGTGCTATCATTAACTCAAGTATTCACAAAATAAAAGAAGTAAATGAACCTGGATGTGGTTCAACCATTTCGTTTCATCCAACATACGAAACCAATTCTTCTCATCAACACGAGGAAACGATACATCTTTCAATTTTCTTAGTCTGTACAAATGTCCTTTTACCTTTTATGTAAAATTTTTGAATTATAACTTTTAATATGTATAAAAAATTGGTTTAGAGCACATCAGAGAAATTTGTAACGACTATTGACTCTTGGTATATCAAATTTCTCAAACATCTCTTAACATTTTTAATATAAATACATTTCTAACTTAATGCACTAGTTACATACAAAAACTTTAACAATCTCCCTAAGGGCTCAAACCACTAAATCTGTCCGTTAAGAAAG